ACACCCACACCCACACACACACCCACACACACACCCACACACCCACACACACCAACACACACACTCACACACGCACACTCACACACTCACACACGCACACTCACACACGCACACACACACACGCACACACACACACTTGCTTATCACCCGCACACGGCTACACACCGTTACGAAATGAACACATAAATTAAATACGTAAAACAATTAAATTCGCAAAATAAATAATTGTATACATAGCCATATATACATAACATTGTACTGAACATGAATCTATAGACATAAAAATGATGTCTTTAAATATATTTAAAATTTAGACCCAGATGTTGTATGTCTCAAGGGTTGGGGAAGAGAGTTCCAAGCTGATGGAGCAAGGTGGGCAAACAATCTTTCAGCTAGTTTTTACCTCCTTTTCTAGGAACTCTTAAAAGATACAGATTGCCTTATCTTAGTGATCTAGGTGAAACCTAAATCTGGAGATCACCAAGATATGAGGGAGCTTTGTTACTGACACATTTATGACATAATTCTGCAATTGTATATATGGGTTCTAAAGAGTGAATAGAGCTAAGTCGAGATACAAGTTCTAAAGAGTCAACAACGTGGGGTTGGAATCTAATTCAAGAAACAAGTTCTAAACGATCAACAAGGGGTTGGAGCTAACTTAAGGTACAAGCTTTAATGTGTTAACAAAGAAGATTTGAAAAAGTAAGTTCTAGTGGGTCAACAATGAGCCTTCGGCGTTATGTCAAGAATATGTGACCTAAAGGGTCAACAATGAATGAGGGGTCAGAGAAAGTAAAACTGAAGAGTATATTCACTTTGGCTTTTGAAGTTGAAGCATGTTTTTTGTTGTGGGTTTTTTTCATGGTAAACAAGGTTTTGAATAAGTATATTCCGTAGCACACAAAAAAGGCGTTAACTCCAGTCCTGAACGTGGCACGCTGCTCCTGCAGCTGATTGTCCTGCAGGCATTTCCCGGTCTTGCTGGCAGTCCTCTGGTCCTCTGGTTCTCCAGTCCTACAGATAACCCTCCAGGTTTGTAGGAGGCCCTAGTACTGAAAAGATGTCAAAGAAAATTCTCTGAGACAGTTACAGTTCAATATAAAAGTATTCATTATGTAGGTAGTACAACGAAGTTTTAAGGGGGGTAACTAATAATATGACAAGTGCAGGCCCTTTAGAGAAGCCTAAATGCAAAAATATTAAAAACCAGAACCAACAGGGCAAATGTTCAAAATTGTCTTTAACAAAAGACAACGAAACTGTAGATCAGATAGCAATATTACATACCGTTTTGCTTTGAATTAAGTTAATCATAGCAATGTATAATTCTTAGGTATATTTTCAGGGACTTACAAATGACAAAGGGCAGTTTTTGAAAAACACTTAAATACCGAAATGAAACTTTCTGATCCACCAACGATTACTCTTTTACTTTAACTATAGAAATCATAAGTTACATAATGTCTTACGTCCGTGAGTAGAGCGCAAGACTCATTTCAAAGACAATTACCTTCTCAGGCTGTCCATCATTCATCACTTCGTATTTGCGGTCTTCCAGTCCAATAGGTGGTACAACAGGCTGTCCTATCCTACTGGTGGTATTAGAACATCTATCACAGGACGGTCAAAAGCCAAAGGAACAGCTGGCAGTGTTTGAGCCACTGAGTATACATTTCACAACACCACTGATACAATTCTAACCGTGCAACACCAACACGCTGCAAAGAACAATCCAGTATACAAAAGTCACTTCAACACTCAAGTTCAAAATCAGCAAGCAGCTCTTCCCAGCCAGTTCTACTCCTGCCACCCCCTCCCCCCTGAAAAGACGCAATCTACCCCTGCTGCCCCATTCACCCCCCCCCCCCCCCAAAAAAAATATTTTTTAAAATTAAAAAAAAAAAAATCCTACATTGCCCCCTCAACTCCCTCCCGCCATGGCCATGGCAATACTATCTACAAAATCCTACTCTGAACCTAGCCCATCCACCTAGCCCCCTATCCGCCTAGCTCCCTACCAACCTATCCTTACAGGGCCACAGCAGTGTAGGTAGGGTCTGTTAAAGGGGGAAGGGGATGACAAAAGTAGAATAGAGTGGGAAGAGCTGCCTAATGATTTTAAGCTTGAGTGTTGGAGGGGAATTTTGCATACTAGCTTGTTCTTTGCAGCTTGTCAGTGATGCACTGCCATTACTGTTTCAATGATGCTGTAAAATGTATCCTCAAAAATGGATCAAACAAACACGACCAGCTGTTCATTTTACCTTTTACCTTCCATGGTAGACTTACTGACAACACCAGTATCTTCTTGTGAAAAGTCCGATGAGTGACGGTAATCTAAGAAAAAAAAATTCAAAGTCAAATCAGTTTGAATTACTAAATTTAAAGTTTAAGCACATTTATGTTGGAACATCTAAATTATTTGATACGTGATCATTTAAAATCAACGCATTCTGTTAACATGAACTAAGTAGTATAAAAATGCAACACGTGATACAAAGAAAGTTTTATTCTACAAGGAAATGTTTAAACCTTACTTTGTGTCCACCTTTTAATCAATTACAAATATTACGGTACCAGTATACCTATGCTGGTGTGAAAAGAAAGACATAACAATTACAGGCTGAAAAAAGAAGTACAACCTTGAAATAACACTAAAGCAAACATCTTCAATTGTTTCCGTTTGAATTACGTTAATTACAAGCAACATTAGTAGGTCTTTTTTCAGGAGCCATTAGACAGATACAGGGGACGTTTTTTGAGAGAAACCTAAATGTAAAAATGGAACTTTCAAGTTGATGGTAGCATTGGGTATTATATTTTTAAACGTCTAAATAGGCCAAGACATCTTTCAAAGACAAATACCTTCTGAGCTGATCATCCTTCAACATTTCTTGTTTCTCGGTACAGAGGATATAGACAAACTCCTGGTCCTGAAGGCGATGAACAGGTGCTGTAGACATTCCTGGTGATGAAAACAATGTGTCAAAGATTGAGTGATTGATTGAGTAGGTGTTTTACGGCACTGTCAGCGTGTCAAAGAAAATCCTCCAACATCTCGTGTTTTATCTAGTATCACAGGATTAAATCACTCATTATACTGGTGACGATAAGAAAACCCATTAACATATATTTCGTTTTAATTAGTTTCAAAGAAAAAAATATTTCCCTACACTGGCTGGAAAGTAGTAAAAAGCAGGTTACAAATACGACAAATGCAGATTTTTGAGAAAGGCCAAAATGCAAAAATCAAGTTTAATATTTAAAGCAAAAGCCACCAGACCAAATGTTTAAAATGTTATAGTGACATTGAGTAACATGTCAAAGATTCTGAAAAAAAAAACAGTATCATAAAAGAGTTTTTATTTGAATTACACTCAATTTATATTAAGAAATTAATATTTAACTCTTAAGAAACATTTGTAGGACTAAGACCCATTAAATAGTGTCCTAATTGGAGACTAATGTCGGAGTAAGTCAATAGTGTTCCAAAACATTTTTTAAAAACAATTACCATCTGTGACTGATCGTCATATATCACTTCTAGCATTTCAACATAGTCGAAACAGACAGTCCTATAATGATGTAGGCGAACCTCATGTCCAGTCTGATTCTCCGGTCCTACAGGCAGTTCCCTGGACCTCGGGCTGTAGACGATCCTGGTGATGATGCGTCCAAAAAAAATCATCTTTTGTCAATTTTAGAGAATTTGAAACTTCCTTTATTGACTAGTACTTAATAAGACAAATTAATGCTTATGAAAAGTGTTCACTTTAAAATTGTATTTTTAGTGCGGGAGTTCTTTTTTGTACACCCCCATCAACACAATTTAGATCACATAGGGTGTAGATGTCCGACATTTCAAGTCGAAACCTGACTCATCGATAGATATTCTAATTTTATACTCATTGTGAGTTAGATAATGTCCTAACATAGAACGTAAGTCTCAGTCAATAGTGTTTCATGACACATCAAAGATAAATACCTTTGATGCTGATCATCATTCATCACTTCTCGTATCCATCGGTCCACCAGACCACAGGTGGTCTCTCCAGAATCGTATTGATGAAAGAAAAAAAGAAATTTTCTCACGCACCAATGAATATTCTTTATGTATGTATGTATAGTATAAGGTTTTACGACGCTCGCAACTGCTAAGGTCATGAATATTCTTTTAAGTCATTACATTAAAACTATGTTACATAATTTCTTAAGAAGTCAGTGAGTAGAATTGCAAGAAATTTTTCAAAGACAATTACCTTCTCAGGCTGTCCATCATTCATCAGTTCGTATTTGCAGTCTTCCAGTCACATAGGTGGTCCTACAGGCTGTCCTGTCCTACTGGTGGTATCAGAACATCTACCACAGGATGGTCAAAAGCCAAAGGAACAGCTGGCAGTGTTTGTTTGATCCACTGAGTATACATTTTACAACACCACTGATACAATTCTGACAGAGCAACACCAACACGCTGCAAAGAACAATCCAGTATACAAAAGTCACTTCAACACTCAAGTTCAAAATCAGCAAGCAGCTCTTCCCAGCCAGTTCTACTCCTGCCACCCCCTCCCCCCTGAAAAGACGCAATCTACCCCTGCTGCCCCATTCACCCCCCCCCCCCCAAAAAAAAATTATTTTTTTTTAAATCCTACATTGCCTCCTCTACTCCCTCCCGCCATGGCCATGGCAATACTATCTACAAAATCCTACTCTGAACATAGCCCATCCACCTAGCCCCCTATCCACCTAGCTCCCTATCAACCTATCCTTACAGGGCCACAGCAGTGTAGGTAGGGTCTGTTAAAGGGGGAAGGGGATGACAAAAGTAGAATAGAGTGGGAAGAGCTGCCTAATGATTTTAAGCTTGAGTGTTGGAGGGGAATTTTGCATACTAGCTTGTTCTTTGCAGCTTGTCAGTGATGCACTGCCATTACTGTTTCAATGATGCTGTAAAATGTATCCTCAAAAATGGATCAAACAAACACAACCAGCTGTTTATCTGACCTTTTACCTTCTGTGGTAGACTTACTGACAACACCAGTCCCTTCTTGAGAAAAGTCCGATGAGTGACGGTAATCTGAGAAAAAAAATCAAAGTTAAATCAGTATGAATTACTAAATTTTGAGTTTAAGCACATTTATGTGGGAACATCTAAATTATTTTATACGTGATTATTTAAAATCAGCACATTCTATTTACAAGAGCTGAGTAGTACAAAAAGCACGTGACACAGAAAGTTTTGTTCTTCAAGGAAAAGTTTAAACCTTACTTTGTGTCCACCTTTTAATCAATTACAAATATTACGGTACCAGTATACCTATGCTGGTGTGAAAAGAAAGACATAACAATTACAGGCTGAAAAAAGAAGTACAACCTTGAAATAACACTAAAGCAAACATCTTCAATTGTTTCGTTTGAATTACGTTAATTACAAGCAACATTAGTAGGTCTTTTTTCAGGAGCCATTAGACAGGTCCAGGGGACGTTTTTTGAGAGAAACCTAAATGTAAAAATGGAACTTTCAAGTTGACCTAGCATAAGGTATTTTAATGGGGGTTTTAAACGTCAAAATAGGCCAAGACATCTTTCAAAGACTAATACCTTCTAGGGCTGATCATTCTACTCTTTTTGTTTCTTGATAGAGTGGACATGGACAATCTACTGTTCTTGTAGGTGATGAACATGTGCTGTAGACAGACCTGGTGATTAAAACAATGCGTCAAAGAGTGATTGATTATTACAATGAGTTAAAGATTAATTGAATGATTGAGTAGGTGTTTTACGGCACTGTTAATGTGTCAAAGAAAATCCAACATCTCGGTTTTATTTAGTATCATAGGATAAAAACATTCTAGAAACTGGTGCCGATAATGAAAAATCTTTAACATCTATTTCGTTTTATTTAGTTTCAAAGGATAAAAGCATTCCCTATACTGGCAGAAAAGTAGTAAAGGGCAGGAGGCCATGATGCAAAAATCACGTTTATGATTTAAAGCAAGGGCCACCAGGGCTAATGTTAAAAATGTTCTAGTGGCATTGAATACTATAAGGCAAAGACTCTGAAGCAACCAATATCATAAAACAGTTATGTGAATTACATTTATAATAAGAAATTAATGTTCATCTCTTATGAATATATGAAGGACCCATTAAATAATGTATCTTACTTGGGAGTTGGTGGGTGAGGGGGGGGGTGAGTAACGAGATGCACAACCATCATTAACCATGGTTATTGAGTGCATGGGGAAAGCAAAACAAACAAAGGAATTACAGTTGACATAACAATATGTGTACGTACGTGGGGGAGGTTGAAAAAGAAAGAATAAAAGACCCCCCCCAAAAAAAAAAACAGACCTGCACAGCTTGCTCATCCTCTCATTTGGAATCTAGGCCTACGTGTCGTCTGGCAGCTTCGGTTTCATCGGGTCAGTCACAGAGAACGGGAAGGGAGTGTCCAACGTTTTAACACTGGAAGAGCAGGCGCCTGGACTGTCGCCACACTCCACACCCAGCAAAAGCTGGCTTCGAAGTGATTTATTTCTGCTCAAACTCAAAAGCAAAACTTGCAGAGACCAAACTGTGTTCAGTGTTTACCAAGCAGCTCTCTGCTGATTGGCTGGTGGGCCCCCTTAATTTACTCAGACCGAAGA